GCCAGCACAACGGTTGTCGAGGCATTGACTTCACTTGTCTCTGACGCGTTCGTATCTTGGTGTGGAGACTGGCAAGGCTGACTGGTGATGCCGACTACGATGCCGGCGAAACGTTTGAGAATGTATCAAGTCCATTGTCAGATGCTGGAAATCCAGACAACTACTATGGCAGACGGCTTCGGACTCGGTGCGTTCTACATAGTCGCCCTGACCACAAGACCAAGTTGCGACAACGAGGTCAACCTACTTCTATAAATCGACTATATTACTTATTTTTCGTGTATAAGTAGAGTTTCGAGACTACCAGCAAATCAGTTATATTGAATGTGGCCGAGTGGTTACCGTGTCAAGCTCACATGCCTCACTATCACGATTCGACTTTCGTTGGGGGTGTTTGTAAGACCCATGCGAGGTCGAAACTGCAGTCAACCCTAAATGAGAACAACGTTTGTGAAAGCAAGACTGTGCAATTCAGTGTAAACGTCAGCTCTACTCATGTCATTGGGGAAAAATTCTACTACCAGTCCTTCATCACCTTAAACGAAATAGGGTGGATACATCTCATATTTTTACTTTTTTTTCGTATTTTGGTCGTGCTATCGAAAAGACCTCGATGAAACCACTTTATCTGGAGTAGTCAGCTATAATATTCTTGATAATTTATAGTTTCAAGCCCTTGACTAAGTACATTCCCAGATGTTTTGCTGGCATCGTCAATTAGCCTTGCTCTACTTTGCACCAAGCTACAACACGATACTCCTCCTTTGTGTATCCTCAGTAATCAGTGGACTCTCGTTCAAATTGCATCCTTTTTTATTGTGGAAGTAGTTTAACAAATTAGTTAAAAGTTGTGATAGAGGATGGGTGAGATAAGAAGATGGAGAATAGGTGCATGTATGAGAAAAGAAGACGAAGAGAATGGACTTCACTTGTGTCTTTAATGAGTTTAAGCTTGGACATAAGAATGGTTACGATTCCAATGAAACTTCTGGTAATATACCAGATCCATGGCCTGACAACAGAAATTATTATAGCCTTGATAGTGGAAGACTTCGGATAGGTTGCGTTCATTGAGGTGCCCTCGTTAGTAATACCAAGTATCGAAAATGAGTATTCTGGTTAACAAAGAAGAGAGCTAACCAAATTATTCTATATATATTTTTCTATTTTAGTCATGCGCATGTAGTCTGTATATAGCTGGATAGTCTTCTTGACGTAATATTAATTTAAACATTTTTAATATAGGTTTCTGATCTGATGAAGCCAGTCAACTAATATGAAGGATGATAGCTTAGCCCAGTTTTGGCTTAAACAAGGGATGCTGTGTAGTGGATCGCGTTAACTCGAATGACGTATTAAAGCCAATTGACTGCGAAACAACGTGAACTAACAATCGTCTTCCAATAAGATCAAACAAAGAAGCTCTCCATCATGCACTTGCATATAAATTGAATGCTTCCACAACATTATTATCTTAAGGGATTGATCAAAGGTCAAATACTCTTGATAAAGTTTTCCTCTAATTACGACCTCACATCCATCTTTTATGAGGCTAGAAGGAATGAAAAGATTGTGATTTTGTTGGCACCATGTTACTGGTATTTATATTTACTTACTATACTTCGAGTTTTTATAGTCTCGCATTATGCTGTAAGATTCATTTCGTTCCATTATTTCTTTACTCACATCTGTCTAAATTTCCTTAATGCGCTTCGTCTAATTTTAGCACGAGGATTCCTCCACACTGGCTTTTAGCGGAACAGAGGTGGTATTCAGCCCTGGTAATCACAGTGTGCAACTGGATGGAGGTGAAAAGTTACCTGAAAAAGTTAGAATGCACAACGCCAGAAAAGCAAGCGTGACTGGTCGCATTCCACGAGAAACGACTAGCTTTGTAATGGAGGCAAGCGGACGCCGGATCCCATTTCGAATAGCAAATATCAAAGAGAGTCCTCCAGTGAAGGCTGGCGCCACAGTTACTATGGTAACGACTGACCTGCGATATAATTCAGTCACAGTGACAGATCGAAACTTGTAAGTTGTTCTGGGAATTTTTCTCCGTGATGATATCTTGGAGTAGGTCATTAGTAACTTACTGATATTATTTAGATTTGAGAATTCGATCCTTTGTAACTATTGCTCTTTGGGAATGTACCACGTCCACGGTCCGACTTTGGAAATAATTATGCATACAATGGACTCAGGACAAGGT